TCTGAAAATGTGACTTTAGCCCCCTCAAATTCAATTTTCTTCACATAAAACCAATATAATTTGTTTACTCGAACAAAACTCCATGACTAGGATCCACCTAAACAAATTCATCAATTATGCTAACTTACAAATTTTACATTTCTCGGGTTCCTAAAAAACCCTATCGCATGTACGATGTAGGACGTACACAATGGTGCTATCACACACCTATTTTTACCTCTCATACAACTCTCAATTTCCAGTAGTCAAATTGAATGAATTGAATAAAATTAATGGACAAAAATTAACAAGGCTGCGTGAGAAAAGAAAATGGTTGTGTGAATAGCACTGTCCTTAATTCTATGTGGATTGTAAGGGGGACTAACAAAAATTTTATTTTTGAACAAACGATATTATCTACACTAAGGGTGTAGGCTAAGCCTCACAATGGGTTAGCAATAATGTGATTCAAACTCGTTTTTTGCGAGAATCAAACCTAAGACCTCTTAATTATAATTTATAAATGAAGAGGAATACCAGTAGGTCATAGTAGTAAGTGGCAAGGGGAATTAATGCTTTTGCTAAAAGAAAAGGAGGAAAATTGTCATTAATGTTATAAATTCATAGGAAAACTAATGAAAATGGCTTGAAAACTTTGAGTTTTAATGATAAGGACAAAATAAAGGGTAAAGTGAATAGTATCAGGATTGACTTTTTAGTGTAAAAATGTGGTTTTTCGTTAAAGTGAACAGTACCAGGTGTTTTTCGTTAAAGTTCCCTAAATTCATTGCATACTAATATCAAATATGAGAATTTTTATTTTATTTTTTAAAATTGAATGATGTCATCAATTTGATCAATGATTTTAATAAATATTGAATATTAATACATATTTTCTCAATTAAATAAGGATAATACTTAGGTAGTCACTAGTGAGTACCATATATATTCACTTTCTTATTTGACCCAATCAAAATTAATTAACACGTCTATTTTTTTTTTAAACAATAAAACGTATGTTAAATATCATTGGGGCAAAACCAAAAAGTGAGTTGAGCATTATCCTGTAAATAATGTTTTGATTACGTTATTTAGTGCAATATCATGTTTTAAATATATCGATATTTTTATACTAAGGGAAAAGGGAATTCCGCTAAACCACATAATGGACAACCGAATTTGGTATCGAATTCGCCATCCACGAGATTCGAACCTCAGACTTCTCACTTCCAAATAAAGAGGAATACCACCAGACCGTAATACTGAGTAGCAGTGCAATATCATGTTTTGATTACTCTTTTAAAGAAGTGTAACTTTGGCTTCGGTCCTTGACTAACTAAAATCTTACATCGAAATTTTATTAATTTGAATACTTTGATTGAAAGACAAAATTTTAAATTTCAGTACTAATTAAGAAATTTAATAACAAAAATTATTAAACCCTTCCTAAATCATGCAAAGGTTGACAGGGATTTTTAACTTTTTTTTTCTTCCTCAAATTGAATAGTAGATTAGCCCATACATGAAGCCCTACGACGGCACATGGGGATGGGTGCATGAGGATGCAAAGAAATATCACGCATCGGGAAAATAAAAAATCTTGCATGAGCTTATAAGAAGTTGAGTCTATTATCAATTGATTTGTGAAGCTTAAATTTATTTTGGAGTGAAGATAAAGGAGGAAGTGGAAAGGGAAGGTCAGAGGAGTTAAAAGAGAGGAAATTTGCAGGTTCACCAATTTGCATTGACGGCAAATAATACTAATCAAGTTCTGAAGGACCAAAACAAAGAAAATCTCATCAAGTTTTGTTCCACAAAAGCTCTAAATGTTAAGCAAAGATGGATTTTATCTAACTAATTGGCCAATTACACAAGAATTTGAAGGCCTTTTTTCTGAGGAGCAGGCACCGCGTTCTTGTTTCCAGGGAAGGCGCTGCGAGAAATGTCTACCAGGGACTTGAAACTGTGTGGTTCGTGCATCGACAGCTCTGACAGAACTTTCCTGTTCAGCTGAATGTTCTCCTTCATCAACCCATGCATGAAGTTTCCATAGTTAACCTGATGACAATAGTAAAACAAGATAATAGGGGGATCAGCATGCACTACAATATATATAACCTGATGACAATAGTAAAACAAGATAATAGGGGGATCAGCATGCACTACAATATATATATATATATATATATATATATATATATATATATATATATAGAGAGAGAGAGAGAGAGAGAGAGAGAGAGAGAGGAAAGTACAATAACTTAAGAAGATCAAATCAGCAACATATTCCAGCTTCTACTGATCCAATATCTCAACACTCAACAGCTACTTTCATGCCGGAATATCCGGAAAGATACATTTGATCCGGCACATCTTAATCTAAAGCTTCTAAACAGTTGAAGCTCTCCCTAACTTCCTAGATTTTCGAAAGCCAAATCTATTTTGAATCTACTTTAATGCCAGAGAAATCCAATTTGAAACTAAATATTCAAAGTCAATTTCAAAACACTAAGCAATCCAGGATCAACATGCTAATTAATCATGCTTGTATCTATGTACAACAAGTCCGAGAATTCTAATGAGGACCCTTAATTTCTCATACGATTCTTTTTATTTTCAGCTACTTTCCAGTAATCAAATTCATAGACGTTTACTCTCCATTTTCTATATTTCCATCTCTTAATAAATACAAGAACAATAAGCGAACCAATAAATGTCTTCATCTTTTATTCAACCAAGGCTAATAAGCAACCTCTAGACACACAAAGTAAACAGAACATTACAAAACAAACTCTACTGGGTTTAGATGACCCTGCATAGATGAACCATATCTTCTTGCTATCTTACAAGAACAATATCCTTCTAAGCATAAAGAAGGTAGTTTATTGTTTTCCATATTTTAACGACTAAAACCAACAAACACTGGAAAGTACATTTCGTGGTTTTCCCCTAACAACTTGCGATCCACATATGTTCAAAGGCAATCTACTAAAGTCGTTATGAACCAACTAATAGACAGATTCATTGTTCTGCAGTATATTGAACAGCTCTCAAGTCCACAATTTTCAATAAATCAGGCTTTCAACAATACATGACCTCAACATAATCTTAGACCGAAAGGAACCCAAAAGGGTCAGGACATACAGAAAGAGAAGTAAAGTGACAGAGAATTGACAAAGCTGGGAGGTAAGGTCACTCGAAATATACCCAAACAAAATGACATGACACAGTTCTGTTTATATCTTTTTTTTTTTAAAAGCCCCGCAGCCTACCTACATGGTCTACTTATGGTGAGGCTCGTATAAAAAACATGAGCCTTGGTTCACAGCCCAGCATCACCCAGCCACTGACTCACTTCTATCTCACCAAAAACCAAGGACTCATTACTCTACTGCTGCACCACCACCCATTATAAGTATTGGCTGCCCAATGCTCAACATTAAAATCCAAGACCAAATAAATATTCGTCGTGCGTCTGTTTTCACAAGTATTCTCTCTCGGTCTCTCTCCCTTCATCAAATTTGCAGAAATAAATCAACTGTGAACAGATAAAACTATAGGAAAGTGTTATTCACACACCCATTTTTACCTCTCAAACACCCTTCTTAATTTTTGGCCATTGATCTTCTCTAATTCCTTCGACCCGACTTCAAAAATTGAGAGGGGTGTGTGGATAGCACTACCCAAAACTATGGACGCAAGAAACGGCAGTTTGATGAAAGTAAAAAAACTGAGATTGAAGACCAAAACCACATAAAAAAAAAGAATAGAAACTTCTATAATTCTCTCAAAAATGCACCACGTAAAAAATATTAGGCACAATTCGAAACATACTCCATGGATGCGGGTGCCAGCATTGATACGCTGGATCCACAGGGAGCGCATGTCTCGCTTCTTGGTGCGGCGATCCCTGTAAGAATACTGCAAGGCCTTCTCTACCCTCTCTCTGGCAATCCTTATGCAATTCTTGGCCCTTCCCCTGAAGCCCTTGGCTAGCTTGAAAATCTTACCCTTATTCATTGTTCACTCTCCTTCTTTTATCCTATACATTAACACACACACACACAGACACATCAGACCACAAAAAATAATCAGCCCCATAATTATTAATTATTTGAGAAACCCATTTCTTCCAATTGAAGAACAAAGACAGACAATTAATCACAAACGAAAAATTCCTAATTGCACGAGTGTATCAAGTATAATGGTGTTAATTATTTAAAGATTACAACTTTAAGAGCAAAAATTACTTTTTCCAAAGTAAATTATTGCCAAATGGAATATTTAACATCTCTTCAACAAATTTAAAGAGTTTAAAGGTGATTAAGATTCATAAACCAGATTATCAATTGAGAAAGATGGGTTTTTTCGATTCACCTGAGCTTATCTGAGGTGGGTTCCTTTTTGTATCAACAGCTCCGAGTTGTGCAAAACCTGCCATGAAACCAATCAAAAGGAACAAGCTTTTTACTTTGCAATTAACAATACTAGAAAAAAAAAAAAAAAAAAGAACAAGGAAGAAGAAGATGGGCACGCACTGTGGCGGTGGATGGCGAGAGATGACAGACGAACTGGGAGTGGGTCGAGCAGCGGGCAGCGGAGGCGGATGAGATACAATATGGATTGGCAATCTGTAATATTGAGCTAAGAGCATGGGCACTTCTGTCAATCCACACGCTTAACCCGCTAAATGGAGCCCAAGGTAACTGGGTCGTTCTCGAATCACCCGTTTACATTCAAGTTGGCGTCAATTTACATATTGATCAATACGCAAAACGTTTAAAACATATATCCCTCCTGCTAATGGTATTGATTATGCAACGAGTCGAATTCAAACTTGCCATGGTGCAAAAAGGTTCTCCTTTTTTCCTTTCAATTAAGCGATATTGCGGAAGAAAGAACGAAACCGATCCATTGCTATAATAAAATAAAAATAATTGATGGACTATGACCCGATCCATGTGAAGCAAACCGGGTAATCTCGGGTATGGTGAAACCGGTGAATACCCTACTTTTGCAAATGGAAAAAGATAAATCCTTAGTTTTGAAACAGTGCTCTTCTCTGAGCTGCTGAAAAATATGCAGCATCTTCTTCCAGTCCGCCTCATAAAGTCTCTGTCTGCTACTTCTTTACCAGGCACCACCTCCACCCTTCACGAACTTGCTTCTACTCACCCCAAAGGTCTGCCTCTCTCTCTCTCTCTCTCCTACTTTGGGTACTGGGTCTGTCACAAATTGCTTTCTCAATAGAAACAAAGCTACCAGTTTTTTTTTTTTTTTCAACCGAATAACAGTGATAATTCATTGATAAGAAAACAAGATTGCAACACGATTACAAGACGGGTGTCAACTGAATACAACCTCTCGAGTGACCAAATCCTTAATCTGGAGGGCTACCAATTTGTTAAAGTTGAAGTGTGTGTTTGAAACTGTGTATTGTATCTAAGTAATGGATGATGGGCAATGAGAAGTAATATGCAAGAAGAAAGCTTTTGTTTGTGTTTGTGTGTGTGTGTGTCTGTGTGTGTGTGTTTATGAGTCAAGCTCAAAACCATGTGAATGTTTCTTTACTTGATAATGTGGTTGCTGAAGCAAATCCAATTTGACAGATTGTGAAAATGCCTGCCTAGCCTTCAAATTCTGTTACTTTTGCTCAATCACCAGACCCGATTTCCAAATGCTGCTGAAATTCGTTTGTCGTAGAGATTCTTTTCGGTTTGCTATTTAATGGAGCTTCATATGAAAACTATATTTCCTTTTGCAGTTAGAACTAGAAGGTTATCTGATGACCAATTGCAAGTAATTCCTTTAGATTGCTAAAATGCAAGAAATGGTACTCGATGAACGGGTCTTGATTCTTGGGTGATTGTGCAATCCTTTTCTTTTGATGGTTTGTGGGGAGGGGGAGGAGGGGATTGCTTTGACATCTAATGAAAATTGAATGGTTGCATTCATGTTCATTTCTTTCTTTTCATTTTCCATTGCAATCTCATGCCTACCCCAAAAGTTGAAAGAGTAAAAGAGATAAAAAGGGGTAGATAAACTTCTACACCTTTCAAGATGACAACTCTACCATGTATAGCCAATAGATGATGATGACGATAATTTGATGTGTGGAGAGCGATGATCAGGCTCAGGTTTCTTTTGAATCTTGAAGCTCTATTTTCTTTGTAGAACAATATCTTGTAGCCATTCTAGGGTCTAGGCTAGAGGAAGCCAAAGATGTTTGGTTTCCTTAGAAGTGTGTAACTCAATCAAACATTCATTTGTTTCTGGTGCTAGAAATTCATGCTTTTCTTGAGGAGTGTTCTATCCATTGATTAATTTCTTAAAATTTCTTAAAACGTTTTTGTGATTGGGCTGGCCTTGGTAGGTGTTGCGAGGGTTGTACTGAAGAAGGGGAAGACCCAATTATTCAAGGATGGCAGCCCAATGGTCTACAGTGGAGCAGTTGATAGAATAATTGGTAGACCACCTCCCAGGACTGGAGACATTGTGTTGGTAGCTGATGGGGCAGAAAAACCAATAGGATGGGGCATGTACAATTCAGTCTCCATGTTCAGTGTTCGGCTGATGCAACTCGAAGAGGAAGCAACAAGGTAGTACTATTTCTACGAGTCCTTTCTAGTTCTGATTTATCATTACATTCACAGGGATGTTCAAATTGATAACCTTTATGAAACAGGGATTTGTCATGTGCATTGAACATGGAGAAACTGCTTGAGACAAGAATTAATGAAGCTATAGAACTACGTAAGAGTTTGGGACTTCCATCAGTTAGTACAAATGCATTCCGTCTTGTCAATAGTGAAGCAGACAGGTACATGACCTTGAGCAGTAAATTGAGATTTCTGTCAGTGTTTTGTAATTGAGTATGAATGAAGATTCTCCCCTTGTCTTTTGTTAGAAAGGCCAAACCTATTTATGGATGTGTAAAGAACTAAGGACGCACTTAATTATTCAACGTAGCAGTAATAATTCAGCTCCTCCGGGGGTTGAGAATGTGTGGATGTTATGTGGTATGCATGTTAGGATTGAAAGAAACTAGTTATCTTTTGGTAAGATCCCTTTAAATTGTAATTAAATTAGGGTAAATGAAACATGTGGGATTTGTATCATTTAATCTGAAATGTTTAGTGTAACTGGTGGCAATACCAGTTGTCTACATTACATGGAATTGTCTGTGGACATACTAGTTCACTAATTTCAGGTCGATGTCCCTTTTTTACCACAGATTGTCAGGATTAATAGTTGATATATTTGGAGATGTAGCGGTAGTGGCATCATCTGCTGCTTGGGTTGAGAAGTACAAAGCAGAAGTAGAGGCCTGTATTAATAGAATTGGCGAAGTTAATTTTGTAAACTGGAGACCATCTTTGGAAGTTTTAAAAGAAGAAGGATTGGATGTGTCAAATTACAAGGAAAGGGATCCATCTTTCTGTCCTCAAAGAACAAAGGTAGGATATCCCACAAAATGTTACAGCATATTTTATACTTTTTGTTTCATGCTATATGAGGTCTGTTGCAGCTGAATATTTAATTTCATGTTGCAATTATTTAGGTTATGGAAAACGGGATCTTTTATTCCATTTCACTTGAGGGACAGAAGACAGGGTTTTATGCAGATCAGCGTGAAAACCGTCAATTCATATCAACAATTTCAGACGGCCAGAAAGTTCTTGATATGTTCTGCTACAGTGGTGGTTTTGCTCTAAATGCTGCACGAGGGGGTGCTGCAAATGTCATCGGTATGAATAATTGGAATTTAGAACCTGTCTTTCTATAAGAACTTCATTGAAATTGGCTAGGTTCAATCCTTACTGAACTGCCATTGGAGGCTAGATTATATCCCACTGTTGTTGTTTGGTCATCCTGCTCATAGAATATGCATATGAAGCCGTGGAGTAATCATTATAATACCAGTGACATAGTCATTTTGTGAGACTTTTGTTCAAAAGGACATCTAGAATTAGATGATATATATTCATCTTCGTGGGACATCTTAAGATTGCATGTTCAAAGCTAGATGAGTTTCTAATCATTCCTGTTTTCCGTCAGGTGTCGATTCATCATTGCCTGCGATTGAGCTAGCCAAAGAAAATGTTGTTCTTAACAACATGGATCCACAGAGAATAACATTTTTGAAAGAAGATGCAAGTGAGTTTATGAAGGGTGCTCTTTCTAGGAACGAATCATGGGATATTGTCATTTTAGATCCTCCTAAACTAGCACCCCGAAAGAAGGTACTATTCAGTTAAATGCATTTGTTACTTTCCGTAGCATGTATTCGAGTTGTTTCAGTACAAATATGAGTGCATTGCTTGTTCCCCCGTCTATGACTCCTTACTTAAACTACCTGACCATAGGTGATTCGTTTGTGAATCTTGGCTACCGCTTCTTATTGGGTCATTTTGAATCCAGGTTTTACAAAATGCATCAGGCATGTATAGAAATTTAAATTCATTGGCAATGCAACTGACAAAGAGAGGTGGTCTTCTCATGACTTGTTCATGTTCGGGGGCTATGACGCAAAGTGGGATGTTCTTGCGTATTCTTCAGGTAATTTCAATTTTCTGTTGCACGGTGCCTTCACTAAATGTTTGACACCCATAAATACAGTAGAGGTTATTAATCTCATGAAATTCTATGAACACCGATTTTCGCTGGCTTAGGAGCCTCATACATATAAAGAAGATTACTCGTTCAGGTTCATATGACTCTTTCAGTTGAAAATAAGTTGATTTTTTTTTTTTAAACGCTGGAAAAAGCTCTGCCTTTCAATATCTGAAACCAAAGAAAGCATATACAATCCAGTCTTCAAGCTCCCGTTTTCTCCTTCTACACTCCTCTTGTTTCTGCAAGTGCACGGGAAGAGAAGGATAGAACGAAAATCGCTTCTCATTTTTAAAATGGCATATAATTTGGCTGGAATCATCTGCTGTTACAAAAACGAGTGACTTCCTAATATTTGATTTGATGAACCTCTCTTCATCCTTCTCAATTTGTTTTGATTTCTTTGTATCAGGGTGCGGCATCAGCGGCAGGGAGAAAAATAACCGTTCTACGGGACGCCGGAGCGGCATGCGATCATCCCATTGACCCATCCTACCCAGAAGGCAAATACCTTTCAAACGTCCTTCTGAGGGTCCTTTGAAGATGCCAATCACTTGCATTAGAACACAAGCAAAAACCCAATCATATTTTTGAACAGCGCATACACAAAGCGATCGATCAATGGACATAACTTTAGATGTATTCAATACTACTTCTGGAATTATACATGGACACGTTCATTCAGTCATTCTCTCGAAAGAGATTGCGAAAAAAATTAAAGAAAACTCCAAATGACAAAATTATTTTCAAAGTTATATGTACTGCTCACACTGAAAACACTAATATACATATAATTAAAATCGGTCGTTGGGAAACGCTTAAGCCAGTCCGTCGACATCAGCAGTTCTACTCGCCTTAGTGACCTCCCGGATTTCTGTTCCACGACAAATACGATGGGTCTCCAAGTTGCCTGAAAGAAGAGAGGATCATTGGTCATGAGATCACAACATTAAACTGTTTACCATCAAAAAACAAATACGTGGAAACATTTAGAAATAGCGGCCACATCACATCCAACCCTGGACAAAATTATCTAGGCATTAACAAAGTTGATCACTGCGAAACAGTCTGTTGGATTAACATGGATGGTACGGTTAACACATCATCTGTCAACGTATAATATGGGGAAAGTTCATATTCGCCAAAGCCGTAGATTTAATGTGGATGAGTGTGTGTGTGTCTACATATTACAAAATTGGAGGCTGTGCTGGAAAATCAAGGCCAGTAATATCAAAGTTAAGGGAAAGAAAAAGCAAGTCCTAGTAATAGTACACCAGCCATAAAGCAAAGCAGAAGTGGACTGAACTTAAGAATCACAAGGGAAAGTTGGTCCATAGCATGCAAAACAAGCATCTTTAAGCTGCCAACAAAGAGTGTTACTTGAGGCAACAAGCGGGTACGGAGTAAAAATGCCACATCTTTCTATTTTGAAAAATCGCATCTACCCTAATAACTAGCTCGACATGAATTAATCTACAGGGTTTCTTTAGCTGGTGCTTATGCATCTTGAAAGACCGTTCAGACAATAATACAAGAGATCATGCCACAAAGAGGAGAGTTCATGTAAGGCAACTCTTGATAACATTTAATATTCCTCGCATGATAAACATAGGCAGGGCAATTGGTTTAGGAGTTTACCTTGGCTTAACAAGATACACAACAGTGAAAGCCATGGCCAGAAAGAAGCACAACCCTCCAACAGTGAGATAAGCAATGCCAAGGAAGTCATTCCTGCCACCAATCCAACTGGTGGTCGAGAGCACAAGCTTCTTTTTTCCATTAAAACTGTATGTGTTGTAATTGTTCTCCAGTGTCACTTCTATCGTATCATTTTCTTTCAGATCTACCTCTATCTTCCCGTACAGCTTTCTAAATGTCGGTAGTGCAGCAGTTCTCATCCAAACAATAAGGTCCTCTTGCTCACTTAACTGTTAAACAAAAAATTGCCTCCTTGAGAAAACAGTTTGCTAACCCAAGAGTTAAAATAAAACTTTTCAGCACAAAAATAACCTTTAGGACAATACAAGACACTTTTCCCTATTTCTGACAGTAAACAAAAGACATTTTATCGGGGTTCAGTGTCTTTAAAGATGCATAAGAGCAACCGTAACGCTTACAAAACTAGAGATGACAAGGGGCAAAATGCTTACTGGTTTAGAGGTATCCAGAGACTTGCCACCTTTAAGAGTTCCATTCTGAAAGTTCTTTGGAAAGACATTTTTGCCAAATTTGTGCTCCCTATCACTCTTCCACGAGATATCCTTCTTGTTCACCGTCAACTGCTGGCTATTGCGGGAAAAAGTATAGGTGTCGTTGAACAAACTCCAAGCAATAAGACCACAAGGTACAATAGGTAGACCATTTGCCTTATCTTCAGGCTTACAGGCATCTATTTCACTCTCAGACTTTGAATCTTTCAACTGTTGATCACTTCGACTCTTAACATATCTGACATGTAGAAAACCGCAGTCAGGCTGGATGATATTATTTATATATAATGGAAAATGAAGATCTCAGACTTTATAATAAATATTTCACACAAAACCATTTGTAGAGACAATCTACCAGAAAGATCCAAGCTAGTTGCACAGTGAAACTATTCAAGAACGAGAACTGCTGGTGGTAGTAGAAGTGAGAATAGTGTACCGTGTACATGAAAAAATTCTTCAAAGAACTAGTGTGCATGCCTTAAACCAAATTATGCTGCAACATCACATGGATTTACATAAAGTGTATACTACTAAGATTCTCGTGATTGACTAAGTTTTTTATTTTTGTTATTTTGTACAAGACCAAGTAGGAATCAAATCCTACTAGACAACAACTACAACATAATCAGGATGCCAAACATGATCTCATAGGGGTGCTGTTCTTTGGACCATAATGACTCTTTGGACCATATGTCATTATCTGCTGTAAGAGCTTCCATGGAACCTGGTCTACCTACTGCTCTGTCCATATATGGCCCGCAAATATCAAGGCTCCAATATAGCTATGATAAAATTTTGGCCTTGCAGTAACTTGATCCAATCCTTTCGTTAACTTTCCACATAAACGTTTTTGCATCAACCATATTACACATAAATGGAGGATTATGGCCAAGGCAGGAGACATACCTGCGATGATTCTGGTAGAAATTGTCAAGCTGGTAATATACATATATAGGCTGCTTCATATGCTTTGATACCTTCACGCAGGAAAACTATCCATCAGTGACCATGGGGATTCAGTTCTCAGTCATAATTAAAAATATTATCTAAATGCACATAATGCTGCATAATTCCTAGAGATACCTTGGTAGCTCGACAAGGATTGCAACCACCACCAAAAATAAGTATTAATCACAAATGTGGCAACTAAAATCTCTTGATGATAAAAAACAAGGAGAACCTTACCCTTAGAGTTCTGTTGCATGTTTTTACTCCAGGCCCTTGTATGAACCTGACCTTATCATCTCTAGAGGGTGTTGGTATGCAATCAGTTTCATACCGATCAATAATTTCAACAACCTGACAGAAACATTTTCCTGATCAATCTACACGCAGGACTAGAAAAGAACAACAAATTATGCAGAGAATTGGGTTTAACTCAGTCATACATCTCGAGAAGCAAAGAGGGAAACAACTCCGATGGGAATGAAGACAGCGCTTACGAGCAGGAATGCTGAGATCACCTGCATGAACAAGCGTGCACACGAACAAATGCACAAAGAGATAAGGCAAGAGTTCCGCTAAAAATCTAACACGCAAAGGTTGATGACTAAGGAGATATCGAATACAATACTATAAAACATACCCATCGTGGCGTGAGAATTGGCTTGCACGCTGGAAGTTCCTGCTGAGTAAATCTTGAATCTGAAAAGATCAAGTTTATAACATCTTTAGTTTACGAATGATAGAAAGGCTACTGAGAATCATATGAAATGCAATGTAACGACATAAAGTCAGCTTCGTCCATGACCACCTACTCCTACAACTTATCAGGTGAAGAAAAGGAAAAACAATAGAAAAGCTTCCTCTACATATCAGCATCTTGGATTACATAATCACAGATTTCACACTTGGCTGAAATCACTCGCTATGTATGTGGCACATCCATCTATACATTAGATACCCTTTTGTTACCATAGACAAGTCTTTCACATAGGTACCCAAGAACTGAGTTACAGAAAGATTTCCAACTTTAGTTTCCGTGTGCCCTATATAAATCGATTGTAGTAAGAGTAATTTGAGCGGTATGGACCCCTAACTATCCATTATCTAAGCTAACCCACCAGATGCCATATGCATACAAGGTTCCTAATGCTCTCAAATCTTATAATTTAAATGTAAAACCAGGAAGTTATTCGCGTCGATCTTCGTAAACCCAGTCTCCTTAGCCTTGATTTCGAATTGATGAAAGCAGCCTAGGTTGAAAATTCACTCTCACAATTTAATAAATTATCTCCGATAAATAATTGACTTCTAAATTTCTAAACCTAACTCAGAAAATATGTATCAACCAGGAACATCTAGGAGATGCACAGCATGTAATTTAAATAATTTAAATTTTGAAACAAAAAAATTCAGATAATTGAAAATCTACCATCTGGGTATTTCTGAAATGAACTAAAAACCTAAAATTAATACAAAAGTTTAGGGCTTGGGAAGGAAATCACATTTAGGTCGCTTGGAATGCCTCCTGGTAGACGTTGCATCCGCAGATCCGGCGCCTCCTGAGCTAGACGGCGCCGTATTGGAACTCATCAGAGACGAACCCTGTCTTCCGCAGCAGAGATTTTAAATTCTTTTTCTTTTCCGAAAACTAAGAAAAACCCACTCCACCTATGGATTCGAATTGTATGCGACGATCAAAGAGAGGAACGGATTTTGTTTTTTTCTTTGGTGTGGGTGTGGGGGGAGGGGGTTTAATTGGAAATGGGGGTGGTGGTGGTGGGTTTTGAGGAATTGAGGAATTGGTGAATTTGTATTGACTTTTTTAGAGAGAGGGATGTGGAAGAAAGCGTCTCCTTTCTTTCCCTCTCTGCAAGGTGGCCGGCGATTCTCTCTCTCTTCTCTCTCCTCTCTCTCTCTCTGTAGAAGAAAGAAGAACAAGAAATTTCTGAGAGAGAGAGAAACAAAGACCATTCAATTATCGAACCAGTCCAATGCAATTACACGGTTAGACTCGGTGTCCAATCTTTTTCAATTTGATTTTTCTTTTTGCTCTATTTTTTTGTTTTTTATTTACTATAATTTGTTCATCGAAGAAAATTGAAATAAAATATGGCTGAAATGTCTTTTTTCAATCAAACGGTGGTAAGTTAAATAGTTAGCTATTAGTTGGATGACAAAAAAAAACTCCACCGGTTTGGTTTTCCGTAGATACTTGTCCGTAATGGGACAGTTTGGGGATTTTATTAAAGACCCGAGCCGCAGATCGAGCGATGATGGTATTACTATCTCCTAACCTGAGCCCGACCCGATTGGATGTTTCTATGCTATTACATGGAAGGATAAAAAGTCAACGAATTGGAGGTTTTTTTCATGGATAAACAATAGCGTTAGTGGGTTAAATTATGGGATGTGCTATCCATACACCTCATTTTACTTCTCACACACCCTTGATAATTTATGTCTATTGATCTTCTTCAATTCATCTGATCCGACGGTCGAAAATTAAAAAAGTGTGTGAGAAGTAAAATA